TTCCCCGCTTTACTTTTTGTTTTTCTAATTTCTACCTATTTCCATTCTCACTGACGTCCTGCCACACTTTTAGCTTCTCTCATTCCTTGGAGCCTCAGACCAGCAGAGAATCCCTATGCCCAAAGAAGGGTGACTGTGCCTGAAAGCTTGCCAAGAACTTTTTTCCAACTACTCAGTTGGTCTAATACAAGATATCACATCTACTCAAAGAACCTTGCCTGTCCTTAGACCAACATGGCTACAACCAAAAACCCAGCACTGATATCTGAAGTACTTTTCATGCACTTATGTGCTTAAGATGAGGGTTTAAGAATGTACATCCATATCTAGAGACGTTTAAACAAAATTTAGATACTTCAGTTGCATCAGTAAAAGTTCTCCAATACCAGAAGTTTTACTTTTGTACATGCTCATCACACCTAAGACCAACCAGGATACTCAACCTATGCATTCCTGTATCTCTGCCTTTTCCTGTCCCAAGACTATTTTTTAATCTATGGACTATTTCATAAGAATAGTGATATGTTTGTTTAAAAAAAGAAAGAACCTCTGTACAAGACACAGCAGTACGAGCTGATAGTCCTGTTTTAAAAACAAACAAACCCTACTGGATTGACCTTTCAGAGAAGACATACTGAGGAATATCAATTTTGTGGATCCCAAAAAACGAAGGCATTTTTCAACATGCACAGAAGCAGACCATTAGATGCCAGAGGAACTTTAATGTTAAACAGTTAGGCAATTACAGACTTCAGGTGTCTCCAGAGTTAGGTGGTAGCCAATAAAGGGTTTTAAGGATAGTGAATTAGGCAACTAAGGGTAATGCTCACAACAAAAAAGTTAGGAACCCAAATTCTGCTGAAGTCCAAGAGAGATTCTGGATACCTACTTAACTCGCCTTTAAATATATACGATTCATCACAAATTTTGCTAAAAGCCTATTTGAAAGCTGAAAGTTTAATTGCTATGTTCCTCCAGGTTATCTTGGTTTCTGTTTGTATATTTTAAATTCCTCTCCTGAAGCTGGGTGCCTAACTCTTGGACATGGTAATATCAACACTGCAAAATCTAAATCAATTTGCAGTTCTTGTCCCCAGTTCTTTTGTGAACATACATGGAACCTAACAAGTCTACTAGGTGCTACTGGTCCTTAATTTTTCTGTAAATACTGGTAATGCCACTGGAGGGTGGACCCCAAAAATCCCTACACTTGTCCTACACTTGGAAGTTAAGCTGATAAAGCATCGTCTTGTTTAAAAAAATGGAAATTTAAACACACTCTCTTACTACTTCTTTTTAGCACACTGTTTGTTTAGGTTCACCTACTAAAAGGTTAGAAATAGTGACTGCTATTTTTTACAGCAGCAAATTATTTATTCTTTTGGATGCTGGATACTTACTTTGAAGAGAATGAAAACAAAAACACAGAAAGGAATTATTGTACTTACTTCTAGTGCATAACATACAGGCTTGTCCCTGCCCAGCTGGTAAGCCACTGTGGTCAGAAGGCCATGCTCAGAAAATACAGACTTGAGAGAGAGACAGAGAGAGAGAGTAAACTATGAACTACTTTAAAAAATGGTTTACGAATCAGAAACAACCGATACATAAAATACAAAAAACTACTATATAAGATACTAAAACATCTTCAAATTAAAAGCAATTATTTTTTACAAATAAAAATATCAACAGTAAGAAACTATCTTTAAATATAACAATATTTTCTCTGGCAAACTTTCTAGAAGTTAGCCAGTGGTTTAGCCTAATACACAAACCACAGCCCACAACCATTGGTACCTGGCCCTTACTGTTTACACGCATTGCTGGAGACCTCTATAGAGTCTTCCCAGTAAAGAACCTGCAGCCTGAAGCAATTGCTAAAAAGGAGAAGCCACAAGCTTAATGTCTCTACTAGCTGAAGCTGAAACATATAGATATCTATTTATCTATAGATATCTATATCTATCTATAAATAGAAAGATAGATGGCCCAGAAGGGAGAGGAATAAAAGTATATACAAGTGAATAGAGCAGGACAAAACTTGATGAGGTTCATGTCAGCAAACAGAGAAACTGGGAACAAGTTAAAACAATGGATTCTTGTTGATGCATGCCTTGAATTAAAGGCACTGCTTTTTAAGTCCTATAGATTACAACATGCCTTTTCCTCTTGCAACAGCTATTAGCAATAAAGTGGAGTACAAAAAAGGCAGTCTTAAAGTGGTATTGCAGAACTATCCCAAGCGAGGGTCATTAAATACGAGAGCACATGAACAAGCTCATTTTGCATTCAGGTACCCATTTTCCATTACTCAGCTACTCCATAACACAAGATTAAGCCAAGTGAGTTCTATATTATGTCCATTTTAACTTTATAAAAGTATGAAAATTACAATCCCAATATACAAAAAGAAAAATAAGTAACTGAAACAAGAGACATCACGCAGGAAAAAAAAATATATGAAGGGCTTATGTAGCAAGATTGGTTTCTTTAGAAAAAGGAATGAATCTGTATGAAAAATATGGTTCAGTGTCAAGCTATTTTAAATTCAAGCAACCAACCTTTGGACCTGTATTGCAAAGCAAGAAACAGCCTGTTCCATACCTAGAGTAGAAGAGAATGTGTGTTAATTTATATAAAAATAAAAAACATAAATGTTGGCATTCATTTATCATATTTTAGTTATGGGGATGTCATGGCAAAGCCATTTAGTGTATCAAAACAATAACACTTGTACAGCTAATGAACCAACTAGTTTAATAATGCAAGTATAAAATATGCATTTGTATGAACCTTACTTTTAATCACATCACCCAACTTAAAGCAGCAAGGGAATCTTGTTGCAATAGAAAAATCTATTACTATAGCCTTTAAAATACAAATGGCTGGTTTCTTTAGGAAATGCAAAAGAAGAAATACAAATATGAAGAAGCTGCCATAAAAAAAAAAAAAAAAACTCAGAATAAATTATGGCAGATTAGCAGATGTAGCAAAAACAAAAAGCTCTCCCCTTCTAATATGCTATCAAACTATTACTAGTGGTTCACTGATAAAGATTTTCTTGGGCAATACCAATAGCCGAGGATTAACCAACCATATTGGCCGATGCCAATCCAATAACTGATATTTAGCAATACTGTAGTGCAAGGCATTTTAAATTACTGACATAAATAAACCTTTGTTTGTTTTTCATTTAAACACACTTACAGCTCCTGCCTGTTTTGGTCCTTGATGAGGAAGGCAGAGACCGCCTTATTCCCATGCATGTCGCCCCCTTGCTCACGGTTCCTACTAGCAGCCCCGCTCCCCATGCAACCTGTGCTGCTGTGTCAGGCAGGTGAAGGGGACCCTCGCATGGACAGCAGCACCAGGCCTGCATGTTTAGAGCCCCAGTGCATGCTGCTGCTTCAAGGCCAGCAGGCCCTGCACAGCTATGCGCCCATTAGCCACCAGGGAGAAGCTGCTTTCACAAAAGCGCCCAGTGCCTAGCGAAGCGAAACATCCCTAGCACGGTGCCTTACCATGCCTGTGCACACCCCAACGTCTCTGCAGCAGCCTAGGTGCTCAGGCTCCAGCTACAAGCACAGTGTTGCCATGGCAGCGGCAGC